TCGTGAGATTGCGCATCAACTTCCCCGGGAGATATGTTTTGTCGGCGGGTATGAAAAATATTTTTCAATCCTCGCTGCGAATTAATGCGCTCGTGACGTCAGGATCGATCGGTGGCCTCGTCGCTCTTAAACTAGCAAAGATCTTAGATAAGTAAGAGCGTATACCGCGTCTACCCCTTTTACGAAATGTTAATATCGCAAAAACCAAAGAGGAATTATTTGAATAAACCAAGGGTAGTAAATCAAGTACCCCGTGTACATTAAGATGCGATCATATTTTACGAAAATATGAAATTTTCCTCATGCTTTATCTGCGATTCCTCATTATTTCACAGGACTCGCCCAAATCACAGATCGAGGGAGAAAGGCAAAAGGACTCGGGCGTTGCCACCCGATTATTCGCTATTAAGGGATGATAAAAGCTGTAAACAGGATCGTCTTTATTACGAGAAAGATCCTTAAAGCCTATTGGCTACGAAGGGGTGAACGTGGCAAAAAGGGGTTGAAAGTAGCTGGAGGGCACTGAGGGGTGGTTCAAACAGGCTGTAAACCCCATCGATACGAAAATCCTTCCGCTGTTCCTAACATACCGAAACCTGCCAAGCTTCCAGTTCACAGCCCACATAATTGGAAGTAGCACTTTTGAAATTCAGCCTGGAAACTCCCGTCGAATCTTTCCCCCGTCCCGACGTCCTTTCCGATTGTAGAATCGTTACGAACGTAGAACCCTTAGAAAAGGGTGAATCAGAAATCAGGCCAAATCGAACAAGCCCCTCGAGTAACCCGCTATGCACCACGAAGACGCGTTCATTAGCGTCCAATTATTTCCCCAGTATTCTGCAGAGCACTATGGACACTTATTGGGACCCAAATCGAACTGACAGATACGAGCTGGGTTAAAGTGACATAAATCCAAATACCTGAAGAGTACAGAATTAAAATGATGCACACCGACGATATATCCTAAGGAAATATTTTTTTACTCTATCTTTTCACGAGTTACTCAAGTTCGTGCTATATGGCTGATATATAATATTCCCAATAAATTATACGCGCCCGATTGAAAGGATCCCGTCGATATACGAGATGTAAATTTGTTCCTTTGATTTACGCCAGTTCGTTATGGTCCCGTTGATTTATATCGTCGGTAACAAGATGCTAAATTATAATACCCTTGAGTTAAAGGGCTGCGGACGTTTACATCCTCGCCAGAAGACAGGGACAAAAAGAGTGAAGCGATTGGATGAAAGAGAGACGGCGTCGGTAGCTAATGGGTAAAAGAGGAGAAATTGAGAAGAGGTTAAAAAGGAAAGCGATAGAAAAAATCTTGAGAGACCTAATCTGAAATGGCAACTGACTTCATTCATAAAGTTTAGTCTCTCGGTGTTTTCCTGAAAGTGATATCTACTGCTTGGCAGGCTAGATACATTAGCTCTCGTGATCACCTCATAATTTTAATGGCGTCTCTGCGTTATATTCTACCGAGAATTATC